TATAGTTTTATTGCATTTATTGCTTAAGTGCTTAATTGTCATGAAAATAACTTTAATGGTTTTTATTTTCCTTTTAATTTGGGGATGAAATATGATCTAGGCATTTTCTTTCCATGTTTCCTGACACCCAGCAGATTCTCTCTTGTACCGAGGTTTCATCCCATGTACTGTTGCCATGGCAATAATTCTACAGTATCTTTAGGTGTAAAGTAGCTTATTATGGGATGTGACCGCTCTGACATTGAGCCTGGGAGAGAAAAAGACAGGATTAAACTAAGTAAGCTAGCATTTTGAGATTTCACTAAGCCTGATGGCCAGAATTAATGCTGAGAACAGCTCTGCCTTCTGTACTGTTGAGAGTTGAACGTCTGGATTTCAGTAATAGGACAGTTTCAGCGCCGCGTCTTCAGCTTTAGGACAGATGAGTATCTGTTGCTGGAGTAATTAAGCCGCCGGCTCCGTGCTGTGATCTTTACTGCTATCATAGAAGGGTGCTGGAAATTAGTCTTTGTGTAAGGGCATCAGAGGCAAATGAGCCATCGCTGCAAAAGAATATGAAGTTATTGATGTAGAAGCTATTTCTATTTCTTTCAATCTTTTAATTCCCCAGCAACTTGGACAGAGAAAAAAATTGTTATATCCTTGACTAATTGCAGTTCATGTAGTTTGTTTGTGAACTTTAAAACTGTCTTCTTGCTATCTTTTCCTGTTATCCTGTCATATTTCATCCCACAATCAAAAGAAAAAAATGAGAAATTATATTTTGCATAAAGAAAACAATGCCTTATTTTTATGACCACTAACACTTTTTTTGCATTATTATTATTTCATATACACATATATATATATATATATACATTTCTATTTTCATGACTCCATGACTCTCCAAATCAACACTATGACTCTCCAAATTAGTAATGCAACTGACAACAATATTTAGACATGAAATTTAGTGAATTTTTTCATGGTTTCTTTCTTTCTAAATTGTTCAAACTAATGTGGATGCAGTTGAATTCATTAGCTAGTATGACAACCAAGTTGAAAAGAGCCAAATTACCTTGAAAATACATATTTGTGATTATTAAAGAAGTATTGGTTTCTTAGGGAATCTTTTGTTCCTTTGTGTGATGGGACAAAATCATGACGTCTTATGGCACAACAGAGCAAAGGAATAACATCCCAGCGTGCCTCGGGAATCACACAGCGTTCTCTAAGCACGCATGACACTTCCGTCTTTAAATGAGATTAAACAGTGGTGACCATGTTCACCCATCTCTTTAAAGCTTCAGCGAAGTCTTTTTTTCATATTCTCTTGTCTAGATTAGTATGCCGTTCTATATGTTTCTATGGTCTGTAAGTGTGTTGCCATGGGAACAGTTTTGCTGTGCATCATCAACTGAACACTAGAGCTCTTGTTTTGTGAATATCACGTTATCCACAAGGACAATGATTCACTAAACAAGACGTTTTTGTCCTTTTTATGTTAACAGTGTCATTTTTGTGTGCAATAGTCCTACTTTTCTTTTCGGTAAACATTTTTTTGTATGTAATTAATGATTTTGCATAATCGTAGATAACTTACAGACAAGAAAACAATGGATTGGGTAAGGACGCATGTGTTAAAGTGAACAGAGTGAATAGGGGAATGTAGGCGACAAAACCAGTTACCCTTGAGAAAGCATGCTAGCTCCTGGTTGCCGTGGCGATGGGACCTGTTATGTAACCATGTTGCCGTGGCACGTGGAGTCCAAGACGTCTCTGTCAGACTGATTCACCAGTGTGATGTGTGTACAAGCAACCACATGACTTTGGAGTTGCAAGCACCATTCTCCATCAGTTGAGCAAATAATCCCTAAAGAGTCTGTTTGTCTGACTTTATTTTCAAAACATTTAAAATAAAAAAATGTTAAAACATTTTAGTATGCATAATTTTACATTTTATATATATTATAAAATAATGTTTTTCCGTTTTATAACGATAATAATAAATAAAATTAATTAAAATACATTTTAAAATAAACTTTCATCTATCATCTAAATTATAAAGGTCTTATTTATATAAATATATTTTTATTTTGAATAATTTTGTTTATTTGTAAAAAAAAAAAAAAAAAAAAAGAGGTTTTTGGGCGTTTTAATTATGGATTAAGAATAATGTGAATTATTTGTTAAAAAATGTTTTACTAAACCTTGAGGTTCTTTGGAGTTTTGGTTGAGGTAAAGTGTAATTACAAAGTGTAATGTGCTGAAAAAAAATAATGTTAATAATACAATGTTGACCTGTTTGTTTATCATGTGGTATATTTAATTTTAAAAGATGATTTTAAAAGGAATAAAAATAAAAATTACCTTTGAAAATATAACCCATTTATGAAATCAAATTAACCCATTATTTTTGTGTAGAAAAAACAACCCATTTGCTGGGTTAAAATTAATAACCCAGCTTCTTGGGTTAGTTTAACCCCATATGGGTTCTGTCCTATATTTACCCAGCAGTTGGGTTAAAAACAACCCAATTTGGAGTAAGAAATAAGTTGAAATAAATAGGTTGAACTGCTCGCCTAATAATTTATTAGGCATTTAAAGCTCTAGTGAGAAAAATAAAACATGGAAAGCTCAAAAAGCAAATGGCTTTCACAAGTAAAATTAATAAATTAATTTTGATGCAAGCAGAATCAAGAGGAAATCAAAATGGAAAACAACAAGTTGTTGTAAGGGAAACAGGTCAGTTTAGCTCAAAGGGAATTATTTATGATATTTATAGGGAATTTGGTCAGAATCACTGTTTTACGGTTGGCCAGCAATTCATTGAACGAGCCATATAACATCAATCCAACATATAGTAAAAACACTTTATTAGCATGGTAACTAGGGATGCATCGATCCGAT